GTCTGGGCCTCCCTTCTGAAGCTGCTGCCCCCGCGACCCGACCCCGGCTAGGCGGAAGAAAATGGATGGATGGATGGAAATTTTGGTATTTTGAAGATCAAATAATTCATATAAATAACACAATAACAAATTCAGGCAAAAGAAACATCTTTCCAAATCAATTTCTTTCAAAATAAAAAAGTATGAAAATAACAAAAACTGCAGGTGTTTGTCTSTGTCTGGTGAATTTTTGGTAAAATAAAACAAACAAGCTTGTTCTTCATTCAGTGAAGTTACTCACAGTGGGTAGAGTATCCCAAAATTTTACTCAAGTAAGAGTAGCGATACTTCGTAATAAAATTACTCAAGTAAAAGTAAAATATACAGCATAGTAAAAGTACTCATAAAAGTACTTTTCCCCCAACAAGTTAATCAAGTAAATGTAACTGAGTTAATGCAACTTGTTACTACCCAACTCAGCATAGCGGCCCTCTAGTGAAAATGAAACTCTTAATAAACGTTATAATTTTTTTTAAAACCTGTATTAAAACACCACAGGAAGCTGTGTAAAAACATGATTCTGAGTAAAAAGTAATGTATTTAAAGGGCTGATGAATGGATGGTTGGTGCTCTTTAAATGGTGCCGCTCAGCGCGTGCTGTCTTGGCCCGTCTTCTGATTGGCTGAGAGGAGAAGAGGGGGCGTGTAGCATTGCGTCACGTTAAACGGGGGGATGAAAGAAGCAGAGAGAGAGAGAGAGAGAGAGAGAGAGAGAGAGAGAGAGAGAGAGATTAAATAGAAGGCAGGCGCAGTCTTGTCGTATCTGCCAGACTGTGGACGGAAGGTACCAGCTGCTAGCTCCGTTAGCTTCGGTGTGCACAGTTAGCAACTAGCTCCAGGAGTCCCAGCTCCCTTTTACTACACGAGAGGGGAGCGAGCAGGACGCTGTTGGAGCTCCWGCTCGGCCGTCCTGAAGTGACTCCTTCTGTGTTTGTGTACACAAGCCTACCTTTTCCTACTTCCTCAGTGTMAGCAGCAGCAGCGTGTCTGCCACTGTCAGGGTTAGCAGGAAGAACAAGCGAACCCATAAACACTGCCTGTTGTTGACATTCGGTCCGGCTCCTTGACAGCGGATTCACGCCATTCACTGATAACCAACATGTGAGTACTGACGTGTGTGTGTTTGTGAATGAGTTTGGTGTGTGTCCGTCTTAAAGGCAAACCAGTCCTTGAAGGCTAAATGAGCCGCATGTGTCCCGCTGTCATCGTGGAACAGATGTTGTAACTTTTGTAACAGAACAGTTGCTGCAACTTGTGTTGGTCCATGTGCGCGCGAGGAAACTAGTTTAAGAAGTGCACAACAATGTGAAAAACTTCCTACAAATCAGTTCTTGACTACGAATCACCTCCTGCAGAGACTGCACGGAGTTATTAATAACCCTCTTGAGCGTAGTTGTGACATCTCGCGAGATCTTATAGCCTTATAGTGTGTGTTCTGAATGACTCTCAGCTACTACCACGTTAAAGAACCCATGACAATAAATTTTTGTAAAATATATGATTATATTTTTGGAAAGATAGCATTCATAAAATACTACAAAACAARAATKCATGCTGCTGAGATGAATAGTTGTTGAGATATTTGGATGTGAAGTAACAGGAAGTGATGTCAGAGGAGAAAATAGAACAGAGCATTGCCAACATCACAGACAGTAGAGAATAATCTGATTAATTTAAATGAATTTAAAGAGTAACTTACCCCAAAATTAACTTTTTTTTAT